AGGTGGCGCTGAACAACATCACCGGCAAGAGGGAGAGGATCAAGATCCTGTTCAAGAAACGTGAGCGGGGTCTCGGGGAGGGGGAGCCGCGAGGAGTCGGCCCTGGGGGAGCTCGAAAACCACCGTGCTGCTCCAAACAAAAAAACCCCCTTCCCCACCTCCCAGCCCTCCTCCTCCTCCCCCCCGCGTTTGATTCCCGTTGATTTTTGGGCCCTTATTTTGCGTGTTTGGCAGAAAAATAAGTTACTGAGGGAGGTCTCTCCGCTCGGGGTTCTCCGACTCGGCTGCTGGGGTTGGGCAAAGGGCCGCCACGACCTTGTTATTCGCTCGATGTCCGTCGGCCTGTGCCAGGGCCGCGATTTGCTGCGCCTGGAATGCAGTCCGGGAGGGCTCTCGGAGCTCCGGAAATTATTTCCTGCGTGCTTGGATTTGTTGTCCACGCTGGAGCAGCTCTGCCCTGTATGTGTGGTGGGAGCAGTCAGGATCACACACAGTGGACAGACCTGGGGAACTGCCTCCAAACTGGGAGATGCCTTCTCCTACAGAGCCACCCTCTTGGACAGGTTTTGGTGTCTGGTGTCACAGAAGGTGTCTTTGTGGTCCGAGCCTACCCAGTGTAAAAGTGTATTTGTTGATGATTTTAAGGACCAGGATGGAGGACTGTGGGCTGGTTTTGTTCTGAGCGTGGGAGCCAGCAGATTTCGCTCACCTCTGGTATCATTATCCAAGCAAAAAGCCAGTGTCGCAGGTTTCCCTAACAAAGGGCGTTCTGGGCTTGAGCCATTTGTCAGTTCTTGCTCACAGTGCTCTAAAGTCACATATTTCCAAGTAGCAATTAATTAACTGGAAAAGGAAAAAAAGCAATTAATTAACTGGACGAAAAAGTGAACAGTGTTTACAAAGTAATCTGATGTGTGGCACAGGGGAAAGTTGTGTGTGCAATAACATCTCCCCTCCTTCTTGTCTCCAAACACTCCAGTTGAAGATGTCATCAAGTACCTTGACCCTCAGTACATTGACAGGATGGCTGTTCCAGATGCCATGAAGCTGCAGTTCATCCTGGCAGGTATGGCGTGAAACAAGGGGAAGCAAGAGGGGTTTGTAGCACTGCAGAAAGTGTCCTTTGCCTGAGATGGGTCAGGGTGGGTTTCTTTCCTTCTGTTGTAAAGTTGTGGCCCACGCTCCCTGGAAGCATCAGAGAGATGCTGTGTGCAAGGATGTTCTCTCAGTGCTCCCCTGGTGCACATCAGCACTGCAGTTTTATCAGCTCTAATCTCTTTACTACTGATCGTTCAGTTTGACCCCAGATTAATCAAAGGCTGATCAGAAAAACTGGAGCTAGAATGGTTCTCCTCACCCCACTTCCAGTACTCTCTTGGCAGTGACAAAAACGGGAAGTGTTTGGGTGTGTTTCAAACACCACCAAGCCTTGCACCCTTCTGTCCCAAGGAATTTGGTTCAGTCTGTGGTAGTATAGTCTGTGAATGGGACTTATAGAATTGTGCAATCATGGAATGTTAAGCGTTTGGAATGGATGTTAAAGCTCATCTTGTTCCAACCCCCTGCCATGGGCAGAGACGCCTCCCCACTAGACCAGGTTGCTCAAGGCCTTGTCCAACCTGGCCTTGAACACTGCCAGGAATGGGACATCCACTGCCTTCCTGGGCAACCTGTGCCAGTGTCTCACCACCCTCACAGTAAAGAATTTCTTCCTAATACCTAATGTAACATTCCCTTCTTTCAGTTTGATCCTTTACTCCTGGTCCTATCACTACAATTCGGTGGAGGTTCTCCTGCCTGAAATTGGAATGAATTAAGACCCAGGGATGAGCAGCACAGAAGTCTTAAATAAAATCATGAACAAGCCCCTTTCTGTTAAGATAGATCAGCTGGAAAAGATAAAGCTATTTGTGAAAAGCCAAAGCACCTCATGTTTACTGGCATTGTTTCTTGTCCCCCTCCCCCCACCCAGAGGAACACGCTATTCCTGAACGTGCAGCCCTTCTGGAGCAGGTGAAGAACCTCCAGCCAATCTTGGACAGTGCCAGTATCCAAGGTATGCATGTCCTTCTGCAAGTTTGAGCTGAAAATGCCACCTTCCAAGCTGTGGCCTGTCCTGTTTTCTGGGGTGTTTTTTTTGTTTGAGCCTGAGACTGGAGAAGAGGACAGCACGTGGCTGTGTGAGAGTGAGCTAGGTACGAACTTGGTGGTGTGTCTGCCCCTCCCTCGTGCTGCTTTAACCTGGCAGAGGTAGAGATGCCTTTTCAGGTGCTTTCCATAATGTTCATCCAAGTGCTTTACTCCGATGTAGTTCTTGAGTAGCCCTCACTGTGGGCACCCCCAAGCTCATGCCATCCAGCAGCAGTGACCAGATAAACTTGGTGTTTAATGTACAGGGTAGTGGGTAGGTTTTTTTAATCCTGTAAAAGCTATGTCTGTGGTGTGTGGCACTGGCATTCAGTGAGCTCTGCTGTGCTGTGCTGGTGGAGGAGGAGTGCTCTTTGTTTTGGGAACTGTTCCTGTGTGCTGTCAAAGCAAAAAAAAAACAAAGCTGATTTTACCTCTGCTTTCAGCGGTTCCTGACCACGCAGCCAAACTGCAGCGACTCTCACAGATCCACATACAGCAGCAGGTACTGTAAATATTCCTATCAGTCGTGACTAGAAGGGAGGAGGAATGTCTTGCCAGAGGCTGGACTGACACCCCTGTATTTGCAGTTGCTTGAATTGCTCAACTATAGCAGGTTTTTTCAATCCCAGAGCATGCATACTGCAATTTTAAAGAATTTCAAGTACTCTGAGGGGGGAAAGGAGCCAGGATTTCTGGCAGTGGAGTCCGAGTTGGAAAATTGCTGGAAATCTGTCTACCAAAACCCTGCTCAAAACAGAGCTTTGAGTGACCCATAGTGTGTTTAACCATCTGGCATTCCCCCTTTCGCTGAGGTGAAGCATTGCACTCTTCCAGTGTCCTGGTGTGTGGAAGAATGTTGATACTATCACCCTGTTACTTCACCCTTTCTTCCCTGTGTGAGCAGCCTGGGCAGTGCCTAATGGCCCCTTTCAGCATTTTGCTGTGAATTTCCACTCTGGGGCAGGCAAAGCCTGGGTGCTGAGGTGAGGCAGCAGCGGTGCAAGCCCAGGGCCTTTGGTGCTTCATCAGCACGGGTGTTTGTGGCCTTCCTCTTGACTGTGGAAACCTTTCCAGCTGCAGTGAGCAGCCACAGCTGGTGTCTGAGCTCTGATCTCAGTACTGGCCTTGGATGACTTTCTCCCTCATGCTTTCAGGATCTGGGAAGGACAGATGTCCTTCAGCTTATCTATTTCTCACTCACTGTGGCCCTCCCTCTTTGCAGGAGAAGCGTCACGATCTCACTGACAGTGTGAAGACACTCCTGGAGGGCTACAACAAAATGGTATCCTTTGATCCATCGGGCCGAGCTGACCCTGTCCCCGAGCTCCCTCTCCTGTCAGGTGCTGTTGGGTCCCCAGCCCTGGATTTAACAAGCAGTGCCCTTCTTGATGTGGTGGCACCTCTGTCCCTGTGACCTGCCTGAGCCAGTCAGCCCCTAATCCTGGCTGCGTAGGATCTCGGTGCCAAGGCACATCCCAAAACCACGAGTGGGTGGGGAAGCTCTGCTCTTTGCTGTAGACAGACCTTGCATTGCAGTGGCACAGGATGTTCAGAAGTGCCTTCTGGACTCACGTGGGTGTTTGGTGCTGTGCCTACAACACCTGGATGGTTTGAGTCCATGTAAGCTTTCAGCAGCCCTGGGCCTCTCCCAGGGATTCGGGATTGTAATGGTTCTGTCAGGGTGCTCTGCCCTTGCCTGCTTCCTTGTGATTTCTGCTTTTCTTTCCTTAAGAGTAATGTCTAGACCCTGCTTCTCTCCAAGCAGTTTGTGCAGTGGAATGAAATACTGACACGGCTGGAAGCGGCCAAGCAAGCGAAACCTGTGGCCGAGTGACAGCAGAGCCGGGAGCACAGAGAGCCCGGGGCCCCATGGCACAGCCTGCATCCCGCTGGCCCCGGCACCTTCCCGCTTGGCCTGAGCATGCTGGAGTGGCACTGCGGCCTCCTGGGGACACCTGGCTGTGCTCTGAGCTGTGCTAGCTGGGAACTGAAGCCGCACTGCTCCTTAATCCGCAACTGTTGCAAATCGTGCACTCCCCTGAAATGTGTCTTGGTTTGTAACATATTTAAAAATCCCTTTCCCTCTCACTGTGGTCTGTAGTAAAGTCCTGGAACGCTGACTGGTTTGTGTCTCTCTCCCTGGGCGTAAGGACTGCTCCTGCCACAGACTGGGGGGCTTTCCCAGGCAGTGATCTGGCAGCCTGCAGGAGGTGGCTGCAGGAGGCAGCCTTGGGCTAAGGGCCGGTAAATCCCTTTCATTCCCACAGCCTTTGATAGACTGGTATACAAACAGGAGGTCATCTTGTTCCTGTGAGCTGTCTGTGCCCAGGGGCATCTGGCCTCGTGGAGCTTTTCCCCCAAGCCATTCTCCCATTGCTGTGCCGAGAGGAGGCAGCGCTTTTGCCCTTATCCTGCCCCCACTTTCCCGGTGGCTGCTGCAAGCCAGAACCTGCGCCGGCTCTTCCCCTTTTCATTGAGGGGCACGAGCTGTGCCTTACTTGGTCTGGCCACAACTCAGAGTTTCCGAGTTCCCTTCAGCTTAGGGAGACGCTGCCCAGCTGCGTGTGACCTGGGAGTCCTGCAGGAATGGGGCAGGATCCCCACAGGGAAGTCAGGAGGAGCCTTCCTGCCCCTGCACTCTCCCTGGTCAGCGAGCTCACCCGTGGGCACAGCGCGGCAAGGCTGCACGGGCTCGCACGGGGACATCGACTGCGCCTGGGTCCCGGGAGAGCCGGAGCTGCCCGGGAAAAAAACCTGGAGCTGATCCCGGCCCCGCTCCATGCCCCGCGCGGGGGCGGGGCCACGACTCGGCCCGCCCATTGATGACGTTTTCGAAAGAGGCGTGGTTTGTACGCCAGGCCCTGCACGCGCTCCCCGCGCCTGCGCGTCCGGTGCCGGCTGCCATCTTGAGGTGAGGGGCGCGCTGAGGCGGCCGCAGGTGAGTGAGGGGCTGGGACACCCCCTATCCCACAGGGACACCCCCCCATCCCACAGGGACATCCCCCCATCCCACAGGGACACCCCCCATCCCACAGGGACACTCCCCATCCCACAGGAACATCCTCCATCCCACAGGGACACCCCCTGTCCTACAGGGATATCCCCCGGTCCCACAGGGACATGCCCGCATCCCACCGCGGTGTCCCGGCCTCCTGGGCCCCCGTGCGGCCGTGCGGGGAGTGAGGGCCTCGTGTGCCCCGTGGTGCGGAGCGCGGGCCCTGGGCTGCCGTGTCCCTTCGGGTGCCGGTGGAACGGGGCTCCCCGGCTGACGAAGTGCTGCGTGCTGGAATGCCTTGAGCGGTGTGTGGGGCTGGGGGGCGCAGTTCCCCGCACAGGGCAGGCAGACCTGGGCCAGGATGGGACCCGCCACGGCAGAGAGGGGATTGTGAGACTGCACCTTTCTGTCTTTCACTTTCCTTCGAGGAAACTTTTGTTTGTTCCTGCAGCCCCTGGTTTGCCCTCTCTCCTGCCATATGCACTGTTGTACCCTAACCTGCACTGCCAGAGCCCCACGACCTGTGTGTGTGACACACACGAGGTGCTGCAGTGGGGCTCTGCTCACGGGGTGCAGCTGTGGGAGCATCCCCCTGGCTTCTGTTCGCAGGAACCCCAGCTCACTCGTTTGTTCTGTGTTCTCCTGAGATGCAGCCTGTGTTTGTTACCTGTCCTGTTCAGGCCAACAGCAGTGGCTCTGTTCCCTTCACCACCTGCCTGCTGGGGCTCAGGCTGCCCCGTGTGTGTTCATGTTGGAGGTATACTTATAAGGAGTGGGCTAGTCTTTTGGGTATGGCTTTCCAGGATCCCTGTCTCTGACAGCTGAGAGTGCCTTTCAGAGGACAGGTCGTAGCTAATTGTGGTGATAATTTCTTTGTGCAGCAGTTACAGTGGGAGTTTGTGTTCACTGGTCTCTTTTCCCTTTCAGCACTGCAGAATGGAGAACTATAAGAAGACCAAAATCGTGGAGAAGCCTTGTCCACTTCCTTTCACTGACCTGCCCGCTGATATCATTGAGATGAAGGTGAAGGACGGGAGCAAAATCAGGAATCTGATGGGCTATGCCATGAGCAAGATGGAGCAGGAGTCGGTGAGGCAGATTCTCTTCACTGGCTCGGGCAAGGCCGTCAGCAAGACCATCACCTGTGTGGAAATCATGAAACGACGGCTCAAGGAGCTGCACCAGATCACCAAAGTGCTCTTCAGGCAGATCGAGGAGATGTGGGAACCCATCGTGCCCGAGGCAGGCCTTGATGCCTTGACAGTGAAGAGGAACATTCCTGCTATATGTGTCCTGCTCAGCAAAGACCCCCTGGACCCTCAGGAGCCGGGGTACCAGGCTCCAGGATCCTTTGATGCCTTCTGGACTGAGACACTCAGCGCAGAGTCCCAGGGCCAGATGAAGAGGAAGCAGGGCGGGGGCCGGGGCGCTGGGAGCATGGGGAAGCACCCGCGCTCCACAGGGGCAGCGTCGGGGGAGCTCTGAGCCTGGCCCGGGGGGCTGCAGGGCTGCTGCTGACACGGGTCAGGGGAGGGCAGGACTCCCGAAACTGCCTGTGACTGTGGCTGTCTGAAACTGTGTTTTGAGGAGTTCGCTTGCCAAAGGCTGCCAGGCCGTGCTCTGTAATGGGTCGGGGAAGGCGGGAGTTGCCTCTGCGTGAGCAAGGACTGTCGGTGTCCTGTCAGTGAGCCCCGGTGGAGGGGCTGCTCATCCAGCCGGATTTCGGCTGCCAGGCGGTGCAGCAGCCCAGGCTGGGGGATAGACACCTGGCTGTGTGCCAGGTACAAAGGGCAGACGGGACCTGACATGGAATTCCGTTGCATTCCCAGGGCTGTGAGTGGGCAGACAGTGGGAGACAGGGCTGGGTTGGCCAATTCTGTGCTTCAGAGTCTGTCTGCTGAGCCTGTTGGGTTGAATGTAGGACTGTGGGGGCACAGGTCCATCTGCCATTGTGTGCATGGAGCTCCTTTCCCTTTCCACTTTGGCTCTGCAGAGCCAATGGTCGCTCCTCTCTCTGCCAAAGTGGCAGCACTTGACTTGTGCCATGACCAGCCTGAAATCCTGTGACTGTGCCACTGCCCTAGGGTGGTAGTAATGGGAATCTCCAAAGAATACTGTTCTTTCCCCTTACTACTCCTTCATATTGCTCAAAGTTGGGTTCAAAATAAAGTTTCCCTTCACCCAAGTTGGAAATTTGTCATTTCTACCTCGTCCCACTGGAGGTCACCCTGTGAGCGTTGGTGGGGCCGCGGCTGCAGCTGCTCTTCCAGCTCTCCCGCTGCTCCGTGTTTGTTCCTCTGCTTACTGCAGATGGACCCTGATCTGAGGGGAGTAGCTTAATATCCAAATATTAACCTCCTTTAATATCCAAAAAAGGTTGACGTGGTTTTCTTCTGGGAAATTTTTTGTTAATTTTTTTTTTTTTTGCTCTTTTGAGCTGACCAGAACTTCAGTCTCTAAAAGACTTATTCCAAACTCTGCTGAGCGAGGCAAAGAATGGGTCACCTTTCCTTAGGCAATAGTTTTCCTTGCGGAGCAGCTCTGGTAAGTAACTCTGGGCAGGAGGGAAATGCTGTTCCCTAGGACAGGCTGAGCTCTCAGCAGAACAGCCCTTGCTCACACCGTGTCCTGAGCACTGCCTGTCCTGCCTCTGTCGTGAGCTCCAGCTGGACCCAGCGTTTTGCATTGTCAGTCAATGGCTAACAAACATAAGTGTTTAAAAAAGAAATTTCACCTAAATCAGGTCAGGAGGGATGTGGTGTGTTACTCGTGCAACCCAGAGACTTCACAGACAAGACTTCGCCTGCCTTGTGTCAACATGAGCTTTGTCACAGGCTGAGCACCTGAAATGGCCAGATCAGTGCTGGGTTTTTGTGCCTCCTCCTCTCCTTCTCCCAGTGGTCTCACTGCTTCCTGCCCCACCAGTGTCCCTGGACCTGGAGGTAGGCAGGGGAACTGTTGGACTTGTCCGCTGTTCCAGATTAGGTGAAGCCTGGGGATGGGGTAGAGCTAATCTGGCTTACCTGGGTGCTCTTTGCAGCTGCTGCTGCTCTCTTACATCTAAGGAGGAGAGTGCTTTTCTTGACTAATTAGCAGATTAGCCGTAAATGCCAAGGAAGATGCTCCAGTGTGTGATCAGATTGGTTCTGACATTTCAACGGGCAATGTGCCTGTGTTTGTTTACTCAAAACACCAGCTTAGTGGAGAGCCTGAGAGCCAGGTCCTCAGGCAGCCTGTGTGAGCCTCCCTCGTGGCGGTGGCGCGTTTAACGCCTTCTCATCAAAGCTGCAAAATGATTGTTATTTTTGTTTCACCGTTGGAAAGTTATCCTCTGCTGTCTCGGTGGCTCTCCTGTCAGGATCCAGCGTTTCCCAGCCTTCGCACCTGTGAGCGCCAGGTCAGCCAGGATGGGTCCCAGCTCTCTTACAGGTCTGCCATTCACCCGTCCTTCATCCAGCTGTCTTTTTTTCCCTGGTACAACACACCATCTGGAGTTGCCCGGCCAGACAGCATCCCGAGGGGCTGCTGTGGATCCCCCGTGTCACCACCATGTGTCTGTGTCACCAGCTGCTTGTGGGGCCTGGGCTTGGCTTTTCAGAGAAACTGCAGGTGCTGAGACCCGATCCCTGGGGGCCTCAAGGAAGCACCCCCAGTGTGCCCCCCAGCCACCTCCCCCCAGTGTCCTTCACCAGGTGTTCCCACCCTTTGGGCTGATGCCTCACACCAGGGTGTCTGGCTCCAGTGTCCATATGGAAGCTGGCAGTTTAGGGGTGTGGCATGTCCAGGGTTGGGTTGCCCCATTCCTCAGTTCCCCCACAAACAGGACACGGAGAACCTGGCTGTGTGGGTGAAGCTGACACTGCCCAGATTCCCACGTACTCAATGTCCCTAAATGTTCTGTGCCTTCCTCTCCGTGGGCTGTGAAGGGGACCCCACCCTGGCTTGGCATGTCTGTGCTCAGCGCCCTCGAGCCCTGGCGTGCCAGGCCCTAGTGCACGTGTGTCCGTGTGCTGTGAACATGTGTTTGTGTGTGTGCACACATGTGCGCAGGGCAGGGCGCCCGGGACAGGGCAGGGCAGGCAGGGAGGTACAGGCAGGGCTGCACCAGCAGCAGCAGGAGGGCAGCAGGGTCAGCGGAGGCACCGGGCAGTACCGGCAATACCGGGACCGGTACCAGCTCAGTGCGGGCAGTACGCGGGCACTGCCGGCAGTAACGGGCAGTACCGGACTCAGTACCAAGACACTACCGGGGGCGGTCCGCACAGTTACCTGGGCAGTACTGGGATCAGTACCGAGTTAGTACCCGTGTCGATATCGGGGTCAATACCAGCAGTACTGGATCAGTACCGGTGTCAGTATCGGGGTCAGCACGGCCCGTGTCCGTGTCCGTGTCCATGTCCATGCCCGTGTCCGTGTCCATGTCCATGCCCGTGTCCGTGTCCATGTCCATGTCCATGTCCATGTCCATGCCCCTGCCCGTGGCCGTGGCCGTGCCGGCAGAGCGCGCGCTGCCCGCCGTTATCCCCGAGCCGCTCACGTGGGCGCCGCGCGAGGGGGCGTGTCCAAGGCGGGGCGCTCAGCCAATGGCGCGCTGCGGGCGGCGGGCGGGCCCCAATGGCGGGGCGGGGGCGGGGCCGCGGTGGGCCCCGCCCCCGGTGGCGGCGGGAGGACGCGGGCGGCGCGCGGGGCTGCGGCACCCACGGGTGGCCCGGCGGGACCGCAGCGGGACCGGGCACCGCACACCCCGCACACCCCGAACACCCCGCACACCCCGAACACACCGCGCCGGGACCCCGCTCCGCACCGGGACACGGCCCCGGCAGCGCCTCCCGCCGGCACCGGGGTCCCGGCGGTTCCCGAGGCGCAGCGGAGGCAGGTGGGTAACACCGGGACCCCACGGCGGGAGGGCGGAGTTGGGGCACCTGTTGCTGCCCCGTGCCGGGGGCTCCGCGGCGGGCGGGGGCTCAGAGGCACCGGGGACGCCCGGAGCCGGGGCTCTCCCCGACCCAGTGAGGAGCACAAGGAGGGCTGCGCCGGCCCCCACCTGCTGCCGCCCGGCCGCTGACCCCGATCCCAGTGCGGAACCTCGCAGCGGGGTCCCGGCGGCAGGAAAAGCAAGTGGAGAGGGGATAGGAGCGCGGCCAGGACTGCCCGGAGTCACCCGTTGCAGCACGGGGAGGGGGCGATGGGTCTCCCACTGGGGACACCTCCAGTTTGGTGGCCCTCGCAGGACAGGGGGAGGACGGCCAGGGCATGGGATGCTGGAAGGGTCTTCCAGACAGCTTCCGACCTGGGAGCTGCTGCAACCTCCGTACTCCAGCGGAGCCCCTTAGGCTTTGGGGTCGCTGCCCTCTCGCACATCTAGAGCCCACCCTGAGGTGCTCACACAGGCTGTCTCCTCTTAGCCGTGGTGACGGTGACTTTCTGTCTTCCAGGAAGAAGAGGGATCCCTGTGTCCCCACGGCCTTGCCGGAGGAAGGAGGAGCCGAGAGAAGGCTCTCATCGATCCTTCCCAGCTGTGAGGAGCCGCTGGGACTCAGCTGTGAGCGGCCAAACTGACGGGGAGGACGCTGTCCTGCTGCCTGCCTGGCCCCATCCCCACCAGCACCACCGCTGTCCCCTCTGTCCCCTGCCAATGCCTACAGGTGGAGGCTGCACACACAGTCACTGCACTGCTATCCCACGTGTGAGACCGAGCTGTGGGCCCTGTTTACTCCCGTGGGACAGTGGCCATGGGGGCTGCTCTCTCCACTGGGGCGATCGTGGCAATTTCTTTTAACTGTGTCATCGCGTTGCTCATCCTCATCCTCTTCCTCATCCTCTGCAAAGCCTGCAGGACCCCTTCATGTCCCGAGAAGACCCCAGCTTCTGATGTAGATGAGTCAAGGAACGAAGAAAAGTACCTGCTGCAGCCCTGATCTGCCTGATCTGGGGAGTTCGGTACCCGGCTGTGCCGAAGGAGTTGCCCCAGCCTGGATGCTTGTGCTGAGACTGGGGTGCCAGACCAAGCATGATGAAAGCAGAGGGAACACCGAGCTGTTCACAGAGGCCGTGACAGGGTGCACAGTCCTTTGTCTTGGTGGTTTTGGTGTATGAAGTTCCTGCAAGTGCCCACAGTGGTCATGGGGATAGAGAGACAACAGATGGGGATGTGCTACACGGACAATCGTGCCCGTCCCAGCGGCCAGCAAGCACAGCAGGAGCCCTGCCCTCATGTGCACCGTGTGCTTGGGAAGAGCCTGGGACAGTGGCCACCACAGTGCAGACCTGAGCAAGGCTGGGTGGAGGCTCGCAGAGGGGAGGCAGCAGGGCTGGCACAGGCACTTTTTCCCAAGCAGGCTGGCTGCTCAATGGTGGGGTGTGCCCAGGGGGACCCAAGCAGTCCTGGCCCTGCTGGCAGAGTGGGATGTTACCAGTCCAGATGTTAGGGGGTGGCCCTGGGGTGCTGTGTGTCCCCAGCCTCAGGATGGCATTTGGCACACATCTGCCCAAGCAGCCAGTTTGATGAGGCACAAGAGGGTCTGCATGGTCTGCCCGATCCTCCCCAGTCTGTCTATCAATCTCCTCCAGCATTAGCACTTAACGCTGCTAGGCAAACAGCCCTCTTCCTCACTGTGGGTGTGTCCCTGCCTTCCCTCCTGCCTGCTCCCAGCTGAGGCCAGACAGTGGGATTTGGCCAGCCTGGGAGCAGCAGACGTGCCCTTGCTGGCATTCCCATCCCCACTGACAGCAACCTGGGGTGGCTTTTTCCTGGGAGGGTGGGAGATGTGGGGAGATGTTAGTGCCCAGACAAACAGCACTGAAGGTTCTTTGACCCCGACTGTTCCCTGGGGATCACAGTGGCTCTGTGGGGAGGAATGCTGGTGGTCTGGCTTGTCCTCAAGCCTGGCTGCTGCATCCCCTGCCCTGCCAGCAGGTGCCATGGGTTTTGGAGGGCTCTGCCTTGCCTATCCTAGAGCCGAGCAATAGCCATGGTCACTGCTGGCACAGCCACTGCAATAAGGGGACAGAGGGGTGGGGTGGGAGGGACACTGGCCAGGGTCCCTGCGCAGGCTTGGCCAGGCCTGGCAGAGCCTGGGGTTCCTCCCCATGTCAGGTGTAGCGAACACATCCCTTTGCAGCCTTGTTTTTACTAGACTAATAAACCAATTGTAGGACCCAGGTGGTGTCTCTGAGCTCTACCCA